CAACACCTGTGTCGCCCCCCTACAAGTAGTGATTGCAATCCTATACATGCGCCTGCTTTTCGACAAGGTTAATTGAATTGTCTCGGCGGCACCGTGGTTATTCTAAGCGATGACAGATGGCTCACACGATATGCGACTGGCGCCGTCTGACATTCCCTTTCTTGTGCGTCTTTGGCGCGCCGTCAAACGAGGCGTGTTTATCGCCAATACGCATTCATCTGCCGCTTGTACTGTCTGAAATTATCTTCTGTGTCTAGCAGTTTCTCTTTGATCTAATTCTTCTTCTAGGATTTTTTCTATGTATCTGTGTTTTTCTTGCATGGACTTCTGTTACGTATTACGTAGGTAAAGCAAGTCTCAGGTGCAGCATATCTTACGATGGACTCCTTTTTGATAATCTCACATTCAATCAAGTGAGCTAAATAGGGGATTTATGTCTTGGTTCATAATTTAGCGAGCGACAACCCAATTGCCGCATCTGTGCGAAACTTAAAGGTCGAAGGAATTTGGATGAGAATTAGGTTTAGTTTAACATTACTCATATATCAGGACAATTTTCTTGATCCAATCTGTATGCGTACTTAAGCTTGTACAACCAACGATCTATGCCAAATGCCAATTTTTATTATTCTCCTAAAAAAAAAGATTGCCAAACATATAGTCAATTTTGAATAGCATTAGCATTGTGATGTCACGCCTTTCACCCCAGTTGAAGAACCGTCTTCTGTTCCATTCATGTTGCCAGGCCTCTTCAAGGTACTTCCTGTGTACTGCAGATAGACGGAAACCCAGCCATGGAACGCTGGATGGAGGCTGCTCTGCAGTACTGTGTTTGCAAGAAACTCATCAACCAACTCGGCTTTATGTCCAGGAGCAGGCGGCCATCGATTGAACTTCTGCCCAAGAGCGCCGGTTTGGTCCGCGAGCTGAAGCACCTTGACAAAAGACTCTCGTTAGTTGGTCTTTCTACTCTTCTTGTCCTTCTCTGATTTGGCTATTTTCCTTCTCCTCCTCAAATGCTGCCCGACGCTTTTTTTCACGCTTGCAGCATACTGTTTGTAGCTGTCTGTACATATTGTATTCAGTTATCAGCAGACTGGCCGGTACCTATGAGTAGTGTCTGTTCTTACCTACTTGTGTTCAAGCTTTGCTCTCGGACTGGTGGACTGAAAGTTCCTGATCACAGTAGACGTAATAGGAGCCTATGGATTCGATGCGTGGAATATTTAACTAGTTAAAAAGAAATGCCTACTTGCATAACTTCAGTAGGTGTCGTGCTCTGTATATTAGCCAATTCCTTTATCACAATCCTTAAGAGATTATAATCGTGATTTCTGTTCTTATCTTTTAGAACCCATCTTTATTGAATATTTTTTCACATAGAACAGCTTGATGGCGTTATATGACACTTATACTCTCAAAGGTACCCTCCTATCAAGAACTGTCAGCAGTACCTAAATTGTGACTTAGGTGTTCTAAGTCCTTGGTTAGTCCCTTGAAATGTTACGATTTTCAACCTCGTCGTGGGTAAACACGTGAAGTCAGGAACCATCCTCCGATCATTTACAGATGTACAACACCCCAATATTTTCGTAAGGCAATCTATGAATCCATGAATTTTAAAGGGTAGTTCTTACAGTATTGTTTTTATTTGTCAGTTAATTACCATCGCACATTAAAAAATGTCTTGTTGTTTCAGATTTGAAGGTATTAACAGTTTAGAAGTAATTGCATTCTGCAATCCAACGATATGTTTATTGATTCAAAGGTAAACATCCAATAGAAATCCGGGTCAGTTTTAGTCGAAACTTTATGGATTGTCGCCTAGGGTTGTAGACAAACGCATCCCTACAACTGCGAAGTGCAAAGATGCGAAGAACAACTTCTGTGCAGATAGTTGAAGCAGTCAATGCCTTAATTGAGGCGTTGTCCGCTGTATGTTCTGTTTCTCTCTTTCATGCCGTCGTTGGTATTATTATTATTATTATTTTCCACTTGCTCAGGCGCGAGACGCACAAGTTGGCGGTAGTCTACGTGGCGCCGGGCCAAGAAGAGAAACAAGAGATCCTGTCTAACCGATGCGGAAGCTTGGAATTTGAGAACTTCGTAGCGGGTCTTGGCTGGCAGGTAGAACTCGCCAAGCACAGGGGCTTCTTGGGAGGTTTGGACCGGAGCGGTCAGACGGGGAAGCTAGCCACCTACTTCGCCACATCCACTCTCGAGGTCATCTTCCATGTCTCAACGCGTATGTCCTCTGAGAGTGATGAGGATAAGCATCGCGTGGTAAGGAGTCTGTTTTTTTTCTGACGTTGCTACTGATGACTACGGGATTAGCGCCGTCGTTTCCTACAGTTTTCAGTTTCTTACCTTTCGCGACTGGTGTGTGTTGATGGGCAACGAAGACACTATTAACCGCGGGATGATATTTAGACAACGGCGAAATGTGTTATTCTAAGGTTTTCTGGCCATCCTCTCAGCTGCATAATTGCACATCGCTCCATAATACCACAAAAGTATTTGGTTTCTATTTGGCACAGGTCTTGCAATTAACATATTCCCATCCTATACAGCATCCTAAGACTTTTTGGCTTCGAGTTGCCACTAATAATAGTGCCACAGCTAATTTAAACTACCAGGGCGCCGATAAAGCCCTGCAGGTAGCGGAGCAAGCCGAAGGGGACAACAATGTACGGACATTGCTTGCATTTAAAACAAATATGAGGTCTAAAGAGCTGCCCCTTCTACGTTTTAAAACTTCACAAATTAACTCATTGTCATTGGCACGTTTACATGCCTGCTTACGCATGCTACTTTCACTCTGACCACGCTTTGCATGTCATCTCTACATTCTGCCATCACCGAGGGTAACCAACCATATCCGGCATTTGAATTTGGATACGAGACAGTACTCCACTTCACTGGCTTACGTCTAGGATATGGGACTTCAAAGTTTTTGAAAAGGCTTAACCCTAAGTCTGTAGCCATGGGTTGTGCTCAGATCAGTACTATCATCAGGTCGAATAGGAGGTTGTTGGTAAAAGGTGGAAGTCATCAGAATGCGGGCATTATTGTGCACAGAACCCTGCATTGCTATCCCAGGCAGTAGTAGCCACTGGCAAAGGCAGGGCTGCGCCCAACTAGGCTTAAGAATGTGAGAACGAGAGAGAGAGAGTGGAGGCAGCTGCTCTTATGTGATTGTGGAGTAAGTTCAAGTGGTGTACGATTAGTGTGTTGCATTGCCCGAGGGGGCATCGTGTATAGTAGCTCTTGCTGCATCGGTCGAGGGGTGATGTGTTCAAGTGGTCCTTTGGCAGCAGACTTTTTGGACGCGCGGGCGTGCGGGAATGTCAGTCAGTGGTATTGGTCAGAAACAGGAACCTGGGAAGTTGCATGAGGTTGTGGCAGAGGGCATTGAACAATAAAGTCGCATATTAATGTTAATTGTCCGCCACACGTCGAGGACGCCTGTCCATGAATTTCGCCTCTTTGCTGTAACATCTAGTGCATATTATCATTTTTTTAAATGTTTCTATCTTGTAGTTCAAACACCTTGGCAACGATGAAGTTATGATTATTTGGACTGAGCACTGGCGTTCCTTCCGCCGTAGCAGCCTCCGCACTGAGTTTGGCGATGTCCTCATCATCATTTCACCCCTGACCAACGGCCTCTTTCGTGTCGAAATACGCAATGAGTCAGAGGTAACTAGTATTTCATGCTTTAGCTTTAGCCTTCTCTAGCATTCACCAAACTGTTCTGT